GGCTCTCTGGAAACCCAAACTTTCCCCCAACTTGCTTAACGCGGGATGATTTATTTGAGTTGGAGCTGACCTCTCCCGTCTCGCCGTCCTAGAGTTAGGATATTTGACAGTAATGAAGAGTGATAGATTGCTCCCGCTCAGCTAAGCAGCTGATGCATTAATTATAAATTGCGGTATGGCTAATATAAAGTTTGCTCCGGTGTGGGGAGGTTGTGGAGCCGGAGGCGGTGATTTTGCGTGATTTTGCGGGGGGTGGCCGAGGGGCACCGCAGCACCGGGCGCTCAGCAGTGCAACACAATGGGTTTACTGCATCCAAAGGCGGCCATTTTGTTGCGGTTGCTATTTTATGCTATATGGGCATATAGATAGGGACACATACGTGCGGAGAGAGCACTTCCCACCCCCCTGGCACCCCCCCGGGATGCGATGTGCTCGGGTGCTGGAATTCAATCCGTGCGTTTATCCGTTTTGTGTGTGCTGGGTTCTGGGTTCGCTGCTCTGGCGGTGCTGCCCTGGGCTGCGGGAGCGGGTGGCGGGTTTCTTTTCTTTCCTTTTTTTTTTTTCTTTTCTTTTCTTTCCTTTTTTATTTTAACAGACCCCCTTGAAATCCCCGATAGCGGTAGCGGTGGATCTAGGCGGCTGCGGACGGCTTACACCAACACCCAGCTTCTGGAGCTAGAGAAAGAATTTCATTTCAACAAGTACCTCTGTAGACCACGGAGGGTTGAGATTGCAGCCTTGCTGGATCTGACTGAGAGACAAGTCAAAGTCTGGTTCCAGAACAGGAGGATGAAGCACAAGAGGCAGACCCAGTGCAAGGAGAACCAAAACAGCGAGGGGAAATTTAAGAGCCTCGAGGACCCCGAGAAAGCGGCGGAGGAAGAGGAGGAGGAGGAGGAGAAATCCCTCTTCGAGCAAGCCCTCAGCAACGTCTCCGGCGCTCTCTTGGAGCGGGAAGGCTACGCTTTCCAGCAGAATGCCCTCTCCCAGCAGCAGGCGCAGAGTGCGCACAATGGCGAGTCCCAAACTTTCCCCGTTTCGCCTTTAACGAGCAATGAGAAAAATCTGAAACATTTTCAACATCAGTCACCCACTGTTCAAAACTGCCTCTCAACAATGGCCCAGAACTGTGCAGCTGGCCTGAACAATGACAGTCCTGAGGCCCTAGATGTCCCTTCTTTACAGGACTTTAACGTTTTCTCCACAGATTCCTGCCTACAGCTTTCAGATGCAGTTTCCCCCAGTTTGCCAGGATCTCTGGACAGTCCCGTAGATATTTCTGCTGACAGCTTTGACTTTTTTACAGACACACTCACCACGATTGACTTGCAGCATCTGAATTACTGAGAAATTAAAGACGTCCTCCCCAAGGGTCCTGCTTTCTCCGCCTTATTCTTCTTGTTTTTCCCATGAACTAATTTTATTCCCCCACCCACCCTTTCCTGCTCAGTATTTTCTGATTATTACCTCCCTCTGCTGTGCCATTTTGCCGTTTCCTACAAAGTTTTAGTTGTGTTCAATTTTAACCTAGCCACATTCTAGGTCCTTCTATGAAAGCAATATATGAGGTCTGTAAGAAAGTGATCATATAGGAATTGTATCTTCACTTTCTTTTTATTTTTGTATTGCATTAGGATGCGTTGTCATAAGTATTTTTGGTAGAATAAATTCTTGTTTGCTACAAGGAGCTTTCTCTTTTTTTCTTTCTCCTTCTCCCTCTCTCTTTCTCTCTCCTTTCAAGATCGATAACATGACGGGTATTTCTCCCCATCCCTTCTACTGTTGATTTACTAATAATCAAAACCCAGCATTCTGACTATGAGCTCTCCCTTTTTGGCAATTTAGAACATTTATTAGAGAGGAAAAACACGTTCAAATTCTTTATTGCAAGAGTTCTCACCAGAGGAAAAAAAAAACCCAAACCAAAAACACCACCAAAAATACTCAAAGAAACTAAAACCATTCACAGCTTTGATGGAGATCTCTTCTTTTTAATGTATAAATGTAACGTCTTAGCTCTGTGAGGATACAAGACTTGGAAATGCTGAGCTGTAACAAAAGCATGAAGGAGCACTTTCTCTGTTACAGGGAAAATATGAGGGAGATTCAGTAGGGTAAGCGACTCCTGCAGAAACAAGCCTGTTACATAGACGGAAGGGGTTTTGTTTTTTTTGGGGGGGAAGGAAATAATGCTGTTTTTCTAGAACCTAATGCTTAGCAGCCAGCAAGCGGTTTCAGGGAGGGGTATCTTAAAAAATATCAGAGCTCACAGAGACTTGATTACTTCTCACGTGCTGAGCGGTCCAAGAAATCATTCCTAGAAGGACAGAAAACGGAAAAGTTAGTGCTTGTAAAACCAAAAGGGTGGCAGAAATGCGGGGGGGTGGGG